CGCCCGCGCCGCCTGCCGGTGGCGGCGGTGCCGCCGCGGCTGCGCGCGGCGGTTGAGGAGCTTGCGCTCGAGCGCAGCCGGGAGCTGCTCGCCGGCGGCGCGGGCGGCGCGGGCAAGGCGGAGCGGGGGTCGGCGTTGGCCGCGCTGCAGGCCGATGTATTGGACGGCCTGCGGCTGCAGGGCCTGCTGCCGGACCTGACCGCCTCGGGCGGCCAGGGCGCGTCGGCGCCGCGGGAGATGTACTCCGAGGCCGACGCCCTGCGCGCGCTCGACGCGCTGCAGAGCCGCGCGCTGCGCGCCGGGCTCCTGTCGGGCGCGCGCCGCCCCGACGGCCGGCGCGCCGGCGAGCTGCGGCGCGTGTCAGCTGCCGCGGGCGTGCTGCCTCGCGTCGTGCACGGGTCGGCGCTGTTCGACCGCGGGGAGACGCAGTGCCTCGCGGCGGCCACTGTCGCACCCGAGCGCGAGGCGGTCGCGGCGGACGCGGCGGCCGCAGCGGCCGCGGCGGCGGCCGTCTCGCTGTCCGCGCCGCTGCCGTCGGCGGCCACGGCGTCGGCCAACGCCGCGACGGCCACCCTCGCGTCCGTCGCGACGCCGAGCGCGCCCGCGACTGCGCAGGCCGGCGGCGCGGCCGCCGCGGGCGCGGCGGCCGGCCAGGAGGTGCGCGCGGCGAAGCGGCTGCTGCTGCACTACAGCTTCCCGCCCTACTCGACTGGCGAGGTCGGGAAAGCCGGCGGCCCCGGGCGCCGGGAAATCGGGCACGGCGCGCTCGCGGAGAAGGCGCTCGCGCCCCTGATGCCGGGTTTGGACGCGTTCCCCTTTTGGGCGCGCATCTCGGCCGAGACCCTCGGCAGCAGCGGCAGCAGCAGCATGGCGGCGGTGTGCGGCGGCGCGCTGGCGCTGCGGGCGGCGGGGGTGCCTCTGGCGGAGCTCGGGGCGGGGGTCAGCGTGGGGCTGGCGGTGGAGCGGCCGCCGCAGCTGGAGGTGGGGGCTGGTTTGGGGTGGCTTCCCGGGACTCAAGGGTTCGACGCGGCTGCCTGCCATGGCTGTGTCCGGGCTGCCCTTGCTGGTCGCACGCGCGTCCCTGCCTTGCTGGCGAATGCAAGTGCCGCTCAAAGCCGCGGCGATTGCAAGCCGATGAGCCCAGGCCAGCCGCGGCGCGACTGCACGTGTTCCTCCTCTAGCGCACACACGTACTCCTCTCCCTCTCCCTCCCCCCCTCAAAACATGTCCCTGCCGCAGCTCCTCGAGGCGCCGGGCTCCGCGCCGCCGGCCGTCTACTCGCCCGGCGGCGGGGCGCGGGTTGACTACGGCCGCAGCGTCTTGTTGACCGACATCCAGGGGATGGAGGACCACCTGGGAGACATGGACTTCAAGGTGGGGGTTTGGGGTTTAGGGTTTAGGGCTTAGGGTTCAAGGCTCAGGGTCTCAACAGAACCCTAAAATCTACAATCTTTGGGTATGTTTGGCAGGGTGGGGGCGTTTTGGGGGCGGGAGCAGAGGATGGGGTGGGGCAGGTTACCTCTCAATGCTGGCGTCGGGGCGGCGAGGTGGGGCGAGGTGGGGCGAGGTG